GGTATGTAATTTGAATATTTCTTATTCTTTGCATACTCATTTTGTTTAGGCCTTCATTATGAATGGCATTAAAATCTTGTCGCTGAATGGCTCCATGAGGCTCATGGCATGTCAACAGGTGGTTGAGAAATTCCTTCATCCCGATTCAGATGTTCGTGTGCTTCTCCTCAGCCAGGTAGGTAGCTCTGGGCTTAACCTGATGAGAGCTTCTGTCATCATCCTCTTTGTAAGTTTCAGTATCATTGCTAGTTGACATTCACTGACTGAGATCCCACAGGATATTGGTTGGACTGCCATTCAAGAAGAACAGATGATCGGTCGTGCCCATTGTCATGGGCAAAAGGAAACCGTTTACATCTTTCGCCTTATCGCGACAGACACTATTGACGTCTTGATGGCTCAACACTCTGGTTCAAAAGCCCAGCAGCTTCAGCATTTCTTCAAGAAGCCTGATTTTAATGTCCGTCGAAACAGGAGTAAGTTCCTTTTGCTTTCGGATAATGATGGTTATTCATATTTTTGCAGAGGCATTCCGGCTGCTGTACAATTGTGATGTACCAGCAGATGCTCCTGCTGCAGCTGATGGAGAAAGCGATAACGATGATGACGAGAGCACCCAGGAAAGTGCCGTTGAACAGCCTCCTGCAAAAAAACACAAGACAAATAGCAAGAAAACGGCGAAAACAAAGGAAGTAGATGTCATCAATGAATCCCGCCATCGTCGTAAAGTGCCAAAGAAGGTGCCAGAGGATGGAAACAGGGAGGGAGCTCCTGCTACCAAGGTACAGATGACGATGCAGAGAGGATCCATAGATGAGGCTGGACCGTCGAAGGCTGGACCATCGAATACCCAGTCAAAGCCCAAGCCCAAGCCCAAGCCCAAGCCTATCACAAAGCCAGCACCGAGCGCACCACAGAATCCCATCGAGGAGGGTAATGCACAACCTGCTCAATGTGAATCTCAGCCCTCGGCCCCCTCCACTCCATCATCCCCTCTTCCTCATCCTGTCATCCCTTTCTCCACCCCTGCAGTTATACCACCACCAGGGCGTGGAATGACTGCCATCACTGCCCCCTCCAGCGATATTATCTCGACACCAGATGCTAATGAACCAATTAGCAATGACGAGATAGAAAGCTATGGGGGCACTGCTAGCGGTGGTGCTTCACAACCTCTCGACGATCTCCTTGACTTCGATGATCTAACTCCTCTGTCTTCCAATGCCCCCTCATCTCCATCGACACCAACCCCATTGCCTGGCAGGAAGAAGTCCATTTCAACTGCACCAACAGGTAATTTGAATACTCAGTCAGGAATTCCAGAGTCATCGCAGAGAAGAGGAACAAGAGGAATGTCAAGGACA